GGGACAATGGAAATTATGTAAAATTTCTGTATTCCTTTAGAAAACGGATAAAATTAAAGAGGCTGGAAAGAGTAAATTTAAAAGGACACTGGATTATACAGAGATGACGGTCTTATCTTAATAAGAGAATCCAATGACCCCCATTTAGACAAATTTAGGAAGAAAATAGTGAACGCCCTAAAAAATATTGGATTCAAAATAGAGATAAACGCTGGCACAGCAACAGTAAACTTCCTTGACGTCACTCTTAACCTGAACAACAATACATACGAACCGTACAAAAAAGACAATGACACCCCAACTTACGTACACACATCGTCCAACCACCCACCTTCAATCATCAAACAAATACCAATATCAATCAGCCGCAGACTATCTGAGAACTCATCTAACATACATATTTTCAATAGCAAAAAACCACCATACAACGAAGCACTAAAAGTAAGTGGTTACACACAACAACTACAATATATACGTCCACAGTCAAAACGCAAAAGCAGAAAAAGAAATATTATCTGGTTTAATCCACCATACAACAAAACCGTCAAAACGAACATAGGCAAGATATTCCTTAAACTTAATAGAAAAGCACTTCATTGAAACAAACCTATTAGCAAAAATATTCAACAAAAATAACGTAAAAATCAGTTACAGCTGCACAAAAAAGTATAACAGAAATAATCAAAAGCCACAACAAAAAAATGACAACCTACAAAAATGAAACCAAGGTTCCAAAATGCAACTGCAGAAATAGAACAACATGTCCACTTCAGGGAAATTGCCAACATACGAACACAATATATAAAGCCAAGGTAAGGGCAAACAACAGCACAATGTACTACATCGGTGCAACTGAGAGTCCATTCAAGAAGAGGAAAAACAATCAGAACCTTTCATTCACCAACAGGAAATACTCGAACAGCACTACACTATCCAGATACATATGGCAGCAAAAAGACAGAAATATCACACCGACAATAAGCTGGAAAATATTGAAAAAAGCACCTGCCTACAGTAACATTACAAAAATGCCTACTTTGCCTACACGAAAAAGTAGCAATAATATCCCACACCCCGCAAAAGAATTTACTAAACAAAAGATCAGAGATAATCTCCAAATATAGGTATGAGAATAAGTACCTATTATCCGAATTATACCAAACGGATAAAAAAACCCACCAACAATCACTCTTTAGTTCAAGCTACCGTCACAATAATTACATTTATTGTTATTATCATTGAACAACCATTAGTAATCACTTCTACCACTTTACAATAACTATTAACTACTAATATTATCATTACCACCAACACCCAACACCATTACTACCACATCACATCTACTATTAACATATAAATCCACTATAATTATTAACGTAAATTACTCCCCCAGCATATTTAATAAGACCAAATAAAAACCAATAAGATCAGAGATAATTTCCAAATGTAACCATGAGAATAAATACCTATTATCAGGATTTATACCAAAATAAATTAATATATATAACAAAATAAAATAAAACACCAACAATCACTTTTTAGTTCAAGCTACCACCACAATAATTACATTTATTGTTTTTATCATTCTCCCACCACCATTACTAATCACTTCTACCAATTTACAATAACTATTAGCTACTTATATTATAATTGCCACCAATCCCTCTACAACATTACTATCACATCACATCTATTATACTATTATCATATAGACCCGCTATAATTATTAACGTAAGCTAACCCCTTCCCCCCAACATATTTAATACCACCATAAAAATAACCAATAAGGATTACAAACTGCAATTTCTACCAGTTACATATACACAGTCATCAAAAACAACCAAATAATTTAAAATAATAGCAAATAAACTTTTAAAAAATTAAAAATAATAGCAATTTTTACCTATCATAATTTTACACAGACCCCACCACACGTATATACGTGCATGTGAGGAAATATTATTCAACGAAAAAATAGAAAAATACTCTGATTGCTGACATGTATACATTCACGAGACATTCACGAGAAATTTTCGCTACACTTCCGACCTTTGAATTTCAACATACAAATGCGTATGTATATAGACAACAACACACAGATACATACATATGTCAAATCCCATACTGTCCACATATGTTTATGTCTGTATGAGCCCTGGCGGACGAGCGAGTGTGTGTGTGTGTGTGTGTGTATGTGTGTCTGCGTACCTCATCGGGTGTACGGACATGCATCTATGTTTGCGTTAGCATGAGTGACATCACCACGACGATTTCCCTCCACACTTCCATAATAACACCAATACACGCAATCTACCCAAAATTTTAAAAATTAATCAGTTTTCTGACGATCGCAAAAGCGTGAAACCCAGGGTCACAAATTCACATCAATCCAACCAAATATATATATATATATATATATATATATATATATATATATAGCCCTATTGTTTGACCCCAATGAATCTCTTCTTGATTTTCAATGTATTTCTATAGTAAAATCATTTGTAACGAATTTACATTGTCAAACCATACAATAATTATCGATGTGTATTTATTTAGTGGGAAATGATGTAAATCAACTTAAGTTAGTAAATTTCTGCTGATTACTTCCCTTAGTTGTTTTAATAATCTACGCATTTAAAATATTTATTTGAATTTAGACAAAATTAGTTCCCGAGCAAAATGAACCGTTTAATTAATCATTTCCTTTACACATTCTGAGATTGCAATCTTATTTGTTCAAGCCTTTCATGTGAGGCACTCAGATACCTTTGTCTATTAAGTGATTGTCTTAGTCTTGAAATAGGCCTTGTCTTCGTCGTCTTTGTCGTTCTGTTGTTAATCTTTTCCTTCCGAGAGATATTTCCATTTTTCTGTTATATTAAATACATGAACTGTTTAACATGAAAAGATATTGAACAAACAACGATTTATATAATATCAGGAGTAATCAATGAATCCTAGATACCATCGAAAGTCGAAAAATATAAAGGGAACGGATTAATAAAACGGTTCATTGGCCTCCATTTTAATTCTTTATCTTCGCTTTATTGAATCTCAATTCATTGCTTCAAAATTTGGTTTCATCACATTAAAACTTTCTAACAATTGCCGTCATTTTTTATGACATGGGTACTCTAGTATATCTCGTATATATAATAGCCCTATCCTTTCCATAAAACATTGATAACAGACATTGTCCTTCTTTTTGATTTTCAATCTATTTCTATAATAAAATCATTACCAATGCATTTTAATTATGCATATAATATCCCTATTCTTTGCATAAATCTATCATCACTTATGAACTTTTTTTTCTTGTTTTGAAGGTAATTCTATAGCAAAAATATTAGAAATCCATTTACATTATGTATATTATTGACCTATTCTTTGTATAAATTCATGACCATAGACACTCTCTTTCTTCCTGATGTTCAATGCGCAGACCTTTCAACTCTCTCGGTGTGTCAGGAGACTCTCTATCCCGATCTCCCAAGCTCTTCCGGTTAACTTTTGTTAAGCATTGGTCTTCCATCGAGTCTGCCAGTTTTGACAAGATTCTCCTTGTAAATAAATTGTCGAGCTTTCTCCACTAAAAGAGCTGCCGAGTGAAAATACTATCTATTCGATTCGCATCGGTTTTGAAAAACGTTTCCGGCCATAATTCGGTTAAAATATTGCGGATATCAGATTTTTTTTTGAAAAACAGATTTCCTGAATCGAGTTTAATTGACAGGCGAAACATTGGCCAAGAATGGATAAATGCTGACCCCAAATCACACAGCCGTTGAAAATAACTGCTATGAATTTGAAGAATGATGTTTTAAAGTTAACATTTCGCAGCTGTTTCTTTTATCGTTGTTTCTCTCTCTCTCTCTCTCTCTTTTGTACAATCTCTCAATTTTTCTAAAGTTAGAAATCTAAATCTTCAAATTTTAAGATTCTTAGCTTGACAGATCTGAATTCATTATGATTGTAAAATCTTTAAACTGTTTCCTTCTGGTTTTAATTACATTTCTATAGTAAAATCCTTAGTAATGCATTTACTTTATATCTGTAATAGTCGTATTCTTTGCATAAATCTCTCACAATAGCCAATCCGTTTCTTTTTAGTTTTAATTGCATTCCTAGAGTTTGTTTAACGGCATATCAAATCCTTAAGAGTCATTTAATGCCGAAATTTAATTTTCTTGGCAGTTTTGGTAATTTCTTTTCCAAAAATCTATTGCTGGTAATATATTTTTTTTACAAAAATCTATTGCTGGTAATGTTTTTACTATGAAAATGTATTGCTGGTGTTTCTACTATATAAATGTATTTTTACACTTTCATAGTGTTTTAATCCCAGTTTGGAAGTTAACTGTTTGCCCACAGCTGAGACCCTAACAGGTGCTACCACCCGGGTCAGGGTGAACCTGGGAACAACAGCAGTTAAGAGCTGGTGCCACGCTCATTAAAACCTCCAATCTCCAGATCAGAAGCCTTGCTGCCGGATGTAGCTTATCGTCATGCCCAGGACGTTATTTCTATAGCAAAACAATTAGTAATTCATTTACATTACATCTGTAATAGTCTTATTTATTTTTGTAAATCCCTGACCATAGACAATAGATTTCCTCGCATTTTTATGATAAAATCCTTGTCCTGGATTTGCGTTATACCTGTAATAGACATATTCTTTGCATAAATCCTTGACTATAGACAATCACTTTATTCCTGATTTTCATTGCACTATAAACATCAACAATAAAGTAACAAATGTCTGTCAAATTCTGTTGGTAAGAGCTCAAAAGACGAATCAGTTATATTACGACAGACGCTTGGAATTGATACTGAATATTCCGTCGGATTTGATTAATGTGGCACAAGGCTGCTGTAGTGGAGCCCCTAGAATTATTGTGAAAAAGAGCTGATAAATAGCAAATTGTCACCACTGAAAGCAGGCACTAAATCGTACAATTGCAAACAAGTGGTAGCATTTACTGAGTTTCTTGTCGGTCATGCAGCAACATCTGGTGGACATCTGTTACTTCCGACATCCGGATAAGCAAATCATACGATCCCACGATCACAATTCGGCTACAATAACGTCTTTGCTCAGCCCAGTCTACGGTCGCCATCGACGTCGATGCCATTTGGCTCGATCATTGAACTGAAAGACATTATTATTTTTTCCTGATCTTCATTGCATTTCTATGGTAATTATACATGTAATAACCCCTGTACATTGCAAAAGTTCCTGACAATCGATATTCCTTCTCTTCCTGATTTTCATTGCATTTCTATAGTAAAATTCCTTAAACACCTGTCTATATTTCTGAGATGAGGTATTGTAACTATTTACATTGTTCAGACTGTTGTCCTCATCTTTGTTGCCATATTCACGACGTTTCCCCAAGAACACATAGCCCCAGTGGATAAAGGCGTTGGCTGAAGTAATCCAGTGATTTGACCCAAAAAGTTGTGAGTTCAATACCTGGCCACAGCAGAGATGAACAAAAACTTGGAGAGTTGAGTTACTAAAGGGAAATGACTGAAACTAAGATATCCGGAAGAGGCAGGACACGTGGAACTAGAGCAGTCTACGCCAGTGGTCGAAATAAAAGTTTCGGTTCGAAATTCCAATGTATATCACCGGAAGAAGGCCGGAGCGTACAACGGCCGAAACGTCGTGAATATGACAATAAAGAGGAGGGCAACAGTCCAAACAATGTAAATAATGTAAAATACCTTAATAATGAATTTACACATCATGACCCTATTCTTTGTTTAAACCGCTGACTACCGACAAAACCATTCCTTCTGATTTTCAATGCATTAATCTTCCAATTATTCTTCCAATTATTCTTTCAATGCATTACTATATTATAATCATTAGTCTAGCGCAGAGGTCACCAACCTTTTTTCTTAGAAGGCCAGATAACTGAGAGAATGACAAAAGTATCCTTGATAACCATTTCGTTCAATACCATACACTGAATACACAAAAAATAAAAACAACAAACGTATTTATTTACCAAAAATGTTATCAAAGTAAGCGACATTAGCAGTAAAAAAGTTATATCCAAATCCAGTGCATACAGATATCTGAATCTCACTAACTAAGCAGCAAAAACGGTAAAGGAGATTTGTGAAACTGGCGTTTACTTTTTAAGATATAATCAATATTTGATTTGGAATTGTCGCATCCAACCAAGAGAATTGCTTTCAAATGTTCGTCAGTCAACCTCGTTTAATGTTCTGACTTTACAGACTTCATTTTTGAAAATGTTTACTCAAAGACATGAGTTCTTCCAAATAATGATGCCATACCAGAAAAAAATTTCTTCAACTTCAATCGCTTTTCTTATAAACTTTATTGCAGGGACTTACACACACAAAAAAAAAAAAACGCTCGGATATTAAATTCACAAAATGGCGCCGATTTTTTTTTATTTCACTGCTGTTACTAAAACTTATATTTACTGTCAGATGCAAAAATTAGATTGGCCAAATTTTGGCATTTTTACTTACATTTATTTTAATTTTTTCTACATAGTAAGTTTAACTACGATCTATTGATAATTCAATATGAATAATTATATTTTAACTCATTAGTGGCACCGTGCGGCCGGATGGACTGGCCCGTGGTCAGTAGTTTGATGACCCCTGGTCTAGCGAAACGAGGTTTAATTGATAGGATTCATTCGAAAAAGTTCAGTCCATGAAACAATTTCGCTCCTAACATCCACCTCCTTGTGTAATTTTCTCTTTGAAAAAAGGCAGAAACATAAACTTCCCTGCATCATCGCCACTTATTAATTTTAGCTAGTACGAATCTAACCTACTAATCACTAGTAATGGCGAATCGTACTAACTCGTTAACCATTGCACCACGCTGAGCCGCCTAAATATTTACTAAGTTTAAGTTTTAAAAATTCCCCTTCTGTTAACGAACCTTAACCATGATGTGACCGGAGATAAGTGGATTGATTAACTGAATAACTGAACTTATGTCGGGTGGATCTCATCACAAAGTTAAAATGTCTATATATTGCTTACTTAGGGTTTACCAAAGATGATTTGTTATTTAAAGTTTTTTTATACGTTATATTTAGTGGCTACATGTTAATTTTCAGATACGTCCAATAGACACCTCTGTTTTTTTTTTGTTTTTTTTTTGTTTTGTTTTTGCTTTTGGGGGGACAGTATAATTTTCGTCTACCTGCCTGGGGTTTTCGACGGTCTTTAATAAAATAAATGTTCCCATCGAAACATTTATTTTATATATAATAATAATAATAATAATATATAGTGTGCGAAAATTTTATTATATATATATATATATAATCATAAAATATATAATCATTCTTGATAAAGGCCAAAGGTGTAACCGAAAACACTTGGAAAAACATTTGGACAGTTTTTGAATAATTTATCTACACAAAAGAAAAAAACTTATAAGATCTCATGAGAAATTATATAAAAAAATTAAACAAAGCATCATGTCCGCCATATTTAATGAAGCTTGCATATATATATATATATATATATATATATATATATATATATATATATATATATATATATATATATATATATATATATATATATATATATAGAATTAATGTCGGTAAAAGTATGTCACTTAGCTGATTGATGTTATCTTCAGCAACCCGACTATATATATATATATATATATATATATATATATATATATATATATATATATATATATATATATATATATATATAAATTATATATATATATATATATACATATCTTTATGGAGGAATTGTCGGAGATAGTTTTAAATCCTAGCCATGACCTTATATCTACATCTATATAGATTCGACTTTGCTACATTTGTTAATGTCTCTGATTTCTAACAAGCTGTACTATTTCCTAGCACTAAAATCTGTCAACTATATTTAATAATATATTTTCTTCTAATTAGCTTAGTAAGGAAAAACTTTGCAATAAAAAAAGTGAAAAGGAAAAACCATATACAGAACATGTTGTGTTAAGAAGAAATTTTCAGAAAAATAGCAACAACGAAGCTGATATTTATCATAAGAAAAATCTGTTGAAATTTCTAAAGAGAAAAAGAAGGCCTAGGGATTTTAACACTCAAAGGAAATACTGAAGACAAATGTTTCATGGAAGACACTATAATGGATTCCAATAATATGAGAGAGACTGCTAAATGCAATCGTCTGGTTATATATATATATATATATATATATATATATATATATATATATATATAGTTATACACACACACATATGTATATATAAATATAAAAGTGAACATAGAAGTCAACACTTAGAGGCGACAGTCTTTTTCATGCAATCGTCAGGCCATGTATATATATATATAAATTAAAAAACAGACCATTTTAAGGTTCCATTGTTATAAATTATATCCCATTGTCATAAATTAAGTTATAAATTTTAGGTTATATATATATATATATATATATATATAACCTAAAAGTTTATATATACATATGGAGGAATTGTTGGAAGTAGTTTTAAGTCATACACTAATACTAATATATATATATATATATATATATATATATATATATATATATATATATATATATATATATATATATATATATATATAGAAAAAATCTCCGACTGATTTGGAATCAGTCGGGTTTCGATCCTGGCTTAAAGCAATCGGATGTCTAACCACACTAATGAGCTGTGATACAGCGAAAGTCTGTCTGTGGATAACAATATATATATATATATATATATATATATATATATATATATATGTGTGTGTGTGTGTGTGTGTGTGTGTGTGTGTGTGTGTGTGTGTGTGAGAGAGAGAGAGAGAGACAGAGAGAGGTTTTTACTTCGTCACATGTCTATTGAAATCTCTAAAGCATATAATCAAGAAAGAAGGCCTAGAGATTTTAACACTCAAAGGAAATACTGATGACAAGTGTTTCATGGCAGACACTATAATGGATCCCGATCATATGAGAGAGTTGTTGAATTGTTCTTCGACGACTCTCATAGATGAGTTCATGATTTTTTTTTACATGTTCGCCTCGAGCGCTGATCATATTTAACTTACGCTCGACCAGCCTTGAAATGAGTGAACGTTCGCCAAACCCTGACTAAGCATATTCGATGGTCTTGATGGCAGACACGAAGTCTGTTTCGGGAAACTTATTCGAATTTCTTTGCCATCGTAAAGATCACAGAGCCGTTCCGACACAACGTCGCAAAACTTCACGAAATAACTGAACACGTGTAGATAACATGAAACCTATTGACAGACGGACTCAGTAGGTTGGGTACAAGTAAGCGTTGGCTGCGCACGCATTTCCGTTGAACGGTAAAATCATAATACGTACACACCAGGAACTTTCCCATACTATTTCGAATATATATATATATATATATATATATATATATATATATATATATATATATATATATATATCAAATCCCTTCTGTCGTTGGTCTTTTGATTGTGGTGGTGAGGGCATGGGTATTCCCGTAAAACAGGAAGTCTCAGCGGTTGGTTACCATTGCTTACAGTTTCTGGAATAGCTGGGGTATTAGAATTTCTGGGACACCTCTTTCTGAACAGAAGGGGTGAGGAATGGCGCATATGGAAGAAACCTAAAGATTGAACTTTTTTTTTATGTCAGCGGCGAAAATTAAGAAAGCAAGATTAACACTCTTCGAGGAAAACACGACTAAAATGAATTAATGGACTGGAATTTTCTGCATGGTTGACACTCTTTTACGACAACTTCCGGTTACTACAATTGACTTTTTTTTAAATGAACCCTTTTCCTTGCTCTGTTTTCATCTTTTTCTATTTTCTTTCTCTCCTTTTCTTAATCTCTAAATTCTGACCATTTTTATATCTCTCTTTTTCTGCCTCTTTCTTCTTTTTTGTTTTCACCTCTCTTTCATTTCTCCTCTTTCTTTCAGTCGTTTACCCTTCCACTTAGTTATTGAATATTTTTCTCTCTTCCTTTCACTTTCTCTCTTTCTTTCTCTCTTTTTTTACTTCTTTTCACTCTTCCTTCACGTTTTCTTCTTTTTGCCATAATCCTCTCTCTCTCTCTCTCTCTCACTCTCTCTCTCTGCAGTCCATTTCCGCTTTCTCCATTCCCCTTCCTCTTTTCCGTTCTTTTTCTCTCTCTTTTTTTAATCTAATTCACACTCTGTTGTTCTCTCCTCTTTTTTTTCTCCTATTTTCTTTTCCTCTCTCTCCTTTCGGTTTCTCTCATTTTTGTTTACTCTATCTTTTGTCTGTCTTTCTCCTCTCCGCTTTTTTTTTTCTGTTTCTTCCTCTTTTCCTTAACTTTCCCACTCTCAGTTCTCTTTCCTGTTTCTCTAACATGTTTGCTTTTCTCTCTTTACTCTCGTCTTTCCAACATCTCTCTTTTATCTTTATTAAACTTTTCGTATCACTTTTTCGTTCCTTGTCGCTTTAATAGATAGATAGATATTGTTTTTCACTTTCCCGGTATCTCTCGATTATTTTTTCTGCTCTCTCTCTCTCTCTCTCTCTCTCTCTCTCTCTCTCTCTCTCTCTCTCTCTTCATCTCCCTCTCTCTCTCTCTTCCATTTCATCTCCCTCTCCCTCTCTCTCTCTCTCGCTCTTTCTCTATCTATCTATCTGTCTTTTCTTTATTTCTTAATTACAATCCCTCCCTATATATTTTTATTTTCCTCTTTCTCCTTCTTTTTTCTCTTTCTCTCTCGTCACATCTCTTTTATCTCTCTCTCTCTCTCTCTCTCTCTCTCTCTCTCTCTCTGTATATTGCGTTTCTTTTCACCTATTCTAATTCATCTTTACACATTGTCTCTATTCTCCTCTTTTTGTCTATCTTTCTGTATCCCTTTTCCTCGTTAAATTCCCCCCCTCTCTCTCTCTCTCTCTCTCTCTCTCTCTCTCTCTCTTATTTTTTCTATTTATCTTTCTCTATGACTTCTTTCTCCCCTCCCCACACCTCGGTGTTTTTACAGGTTCCATATCTTCTGTATTTATTTGGTGAAGAACACACGTTTGGTTATCACATGCTGTCTTTTTGGACATCAATATCGTTTTCTCTTCTTTATCGTTTATATGTGCAAAATGGCTACAGATTGGTTTACACCATCTTTTATTCTTCTTTCTTTAGAAATAAAAACATTTATTCATTCTTTGCTATTATTTTTAGCGACATCAACTCATTGAAATCCACACCCAAAGATGTTTTTTCGAGAAATCAATGATAACATCTGAAACGTTTGTCGGGATGTCCATGTAAGGGTTAAGGAGCAGAATATCATGCAAAGTGGGCTGTGCATAAAGATTCTTTTTAAATGGAGAAATAGCAATCTTTTTTTTTTTTTATCTGTTTCAAATTAATTTAAATCTTTTATGTTTTTACTGTAGTGAAGAAAAACTTGATACACCCTGCTTCTCTTGTGTAAAAAAATGTATTATTATTATTTTTATTATTATTATTATTATTATTATTATTATTATTATTGGATTAAAATAATAAATTTCTCAATAGTTAACAATTTTAAAAAATCATCTTCATCATCAGTCCATGGTCCGGGACGGTCGGAACATAAAAGAAACAGACAGTTATCTCCAGGATGATCTGTTCCGTAGGAAGTGGCTTTCAGGGGTGGTATTTACTTGACTCCCACTAAGTCAAGATGTGACACAAGGTCGTTTAACGTGGGAGACCCGAGTGTTTCCACTCAAAGGCCACTGGTCAAAATTGGTCTTAGCTTGTCCAAGCTGGTCAGAGCCTAGTCAAAGCTGGTCATGACTTGTCCTAGCAAGTCCAGGCCAAAGCCAGTCCAAGCTAGTCGAAGCCTTGATCGAATCTCAGCCATAGGCCAAGAAACGATCCATTATTTGTCAAAAACCCCAACGTAAAAATTCGTCGGTCGAGTTGTGGCTTTCAGGAGTTCCGGCATTATCATGTTCGTCCACTCTTTGATGTTGTCTGACCAGTTCATTCGTAACGGTCCCTGCTTATTTCTCCCTTCAACAGTGACATGTAGGATGGTCTCGCAGAGGCTGTTTTGCCGTATGTCTTGGCCAGATCATGACTTCTTCCAACGTTTCTCAAATAGTAACGAGGAGACATCCCTGTCGGCTCACGAGGCTTTTGACCGTTGCTCCGTGCATAAGCATTGTATTTTGGGATCTCAGTAGGAGATGCGGAAAATCTTTCTCCACCATTTGTTCTCGAACACCTGAACCCTTTTCCCTGGCTCAACCAGAAGTGTCCAAGTCTTACACCCGTAAAAGAGGATTTGTTGTACGACCAGCGATTTGTGGAGCTTGAACTTGAAAGGAAAGCTGATATTTAAAAAGTACACCAAGAAAATGTATATCATTTTAGGTTTCAAAGTAGTATATGAAAACTTACTGGCACGTATCAATGTTTAATATATTTTACTAAGTCGGATACAAGGCCACAAATATGGAGTATACTCTAAGAAACTTCCTTGAGGACGCACTTAATCCAAGGTTAAATTACTTGTTTATATTTTTTTTATTTGTCTAATTGACGAATGAATCAACAGTTAATTTAAACAGAATCTCAAATTATTTACCATCATGCCTCAGGCATTTTCTTTGCTGATCTCCGACCTCATCTGTTTATATATATATATATATATATATATATATATATATATATATATATATATATATATATATATATATATATATATATATATATATATATATATATATATATATATATATATATATATATATATATATATATATATATATATATATATATATATAAACAAAAGAAAAACCTATCTTGACCAACGCGTTTCGTTCTCTGATAGACTTTAGCAAAGCAAATGTAAAGATTTTATTTTACAACAAGTATTTATGAACGAAAGTAAAATGTTGTTAGTTTGATTTTTTTTTTAATTTAAGAGACGCTCATAAATATTCATGAGGCTAAGTGAAAAGTCTCAGAAAATAATGGCGGATGGTAAGTGACGTCATTTAATGTCGAATAAACAATAGTGAGTAAATGATGATGTTAAACTAAGATAAGTCTTCCTTTTGTTTTTATTTATATTGTCTTTTTACAGACATATTTCAGTTACATCAGAAAAAATCACATACACACACACGCACGCACACACACATACGCATATATATATTTATTTTAAGACATTTATATGTTTATACATTTTTTTTATAAACATAAAAATGTCTTAAAAATAATTGTCCATTTCATAATTTGTGACGTCATTTGTTTACATTTGGACACGCATCGAGCAGATATGAAAGTACGTGACAAAATCATGGAAAATGGTGTTTAAAAACAGGAAAATCAACGTGGCCGACAAAACACTTCTCTGTGGCGAAATCGGTAAACGGACGCCAGGCTATATGACGGTCCCGTATAGGATACAGATTCGATTCCTGCCGAAGAACGCATTTTTTTATGATAATTTCTCGGACATTCAAACCGGGAAATGTTGTTAATACTGTTTATTATAAGCAGAGCATTTACTTAAATATTTGTATCTATAAAAAGGAATGTTTAAACATAAAAATTTCTTAAAATAAGTCGACATTGAGGTCAACAATCGGCGGCGAGAAGCTGTTTCATGCTTAAATGCAGTCTTCAACGCGTGAAGATTGCGTGTAAGCATGAAACGGACTGTCGCTGTTGGGTGTTGACTTCAATGTGCACTTTTATATTTACATACGCTCTATCCCTGATATACGAGCACATTAATCTATAAATATAGCATATCTTAAAACTTTATTTATATATATATATATATATATATAAACACACACACACACACATATATATATATATATATATATATATATATATATATATATATATATAATGAAAAGGACAAAGTCCGACAATTATTTTAAAACATTTTTATGTTTATACATTCTTTTTATAGATACAAATATTTAAGTAAATGCTCTGTTTATAATAAACAGTATCTATAAAAAGAATGTATAAACATGAAAATGTCTTTATATATATATATATATATATATATATATATAAATAAATCCATAAATCCATATATATATATATATATGGATTTATGGATTTATTTTTAAAATTTTAAATATTTATATATATATATATATATATATATATATATATATATATATAGAGAGAGAGAGAGAGAGAGATTATGGAATAATGGATAGCTGTTTGAATTGAGAAATCGGAGAGTTGAGTTCGAATTCCAGTCAAGTTCATTGCATTCACTTGGGAAAGATATGAATCCATTTTTTGCCCACTAGCTATGGGTATATAGCAGGATACGCCTAGTCCTATAGCCTTGGCTTTCAACCGGTGTATGAGAAGGACAACTCTGAATTCAAAACCTGTGGAGCGTCGGTTGAGGACCTTGTAGCACGCTGTGCACCAGTTCTCGATATTCAGCACTTTCAAAAAGTTTGGTCACTTCTGCAAAATCTGTAATTAAATCATATGTGCGTGTAGTCTGGCTATTCGATTCTGACAACCATGTTGCTGGATCCTCATACGTCGAAAAACGACGAGAGAATCCTTCATATATATATATATATATATATATATATATATAGGACAGCGCACATTTTTTACAAAATTTCTCGAACATTCAGGCCCGTAAATGTAATTAATACCGTTAATTATAAAAAAAACAAAAAAAAAAACAGAGCAATTATTTAAATAAATTGCATCTTTTGAAATAACGTATAAACAGGAATATATTAAATTATCAGATTTAATCCATTTCATTACACACACACACACATACCCCCCCCACACACACACACACATATATATATATGTATTATATTCATTATATATTATTCATTACATATATATATATATATATTATGTTTATATAATATTGTATATATTATATTATATATATTATTATTCATTATGTATATTATATGTATGTATATATATATATATATTTACAAATGCCATGTATTCAATATATAGAAATATACAGTAGTAACAAAAATACTTCACTCTGCAGGGCTTTGGCAAGAATTAAACAAAACCGCATGTGTTTTTTATAAGCAAAACATACTGTAGGTGCTAGCACATTACAGGAAATGACGTCACCAATAAATACAGGAAATGTCGTCACCAGTAAGTTTACATAGCAATAATTTAATTAATAATTCATTATTTTTAATTATTTTTCAATGAAATATTTGCCTCTTCCCTTTGAAAAATCTTTCCTTTTTAAAAAGTGGATTTCACGTACATTATACGAATTATGTTATATCATGTTATTTTAGCTGAGAAATGATTTTTATATCTAACTAAAATGTGTCAGTAAGGGGTCAATGTCTGGCCACGGTGTTACGTTTGAGTGTCTTTTCCCAACCGTTGACATAAAAAAAAAAGTTATATTATTCGGGCTGAACTCACTGTCAGTAGTTTTCAGGTGTATGTCGTTAAACCTCTTCATTGTTGCTCACAAATCTTTGACTAGCTCAAATACAAAAGTGCACCAAATTGCAGAACCGAGGATTTTTTATGCGTGTTTTAAAAAATCTACGCCTTTTATGATTGATCGATTATGTGAAATCTTAAATTTAATAAATTGTTGAATTCTTTAATGCCTGAAAATAGCAGTAACATTCACTTTTTTGCAAGGTGTTCATTTTATGACCTTGTACTATATTTCATATGATAGGAAGATATGGATAAAGGTCTATGATAAGAAAAGGTGAATGTGTACAATTTTGTCTGATAATACAAATAGCCACAAACACATTTTCCAATAATGAAACTCAAGATAATTTTAACAAATGACGATAAATTATCGCGATAAAATCTTTATCGATTTGATATTTTTTTTAAAAAACCATAAAAAAAGTTCTTTTTTTTTCAGTCAAATGAAGATTAATTTAGAGAACTTGATAAAAAAAATATCATACACATAGAAAAAAAAGTGTCCCGGCAAAACATGCAAAAAAGCAACAAGACGCAGCGAGGTAAAAGCAAACAGAAGATGTAACGATAAAAAGCAGGAAACAACAAAATAGAATGGAAAGCAACAAGAACAAGAAGAAGCGACAAGATGAAATGGGGAACATTAAAAAGCAACAAGACGCAGCAGGAGACAGTAAAAAGCAACAAAATGCAACAAGAAGCAATAAGAAACAAGAAGCAACAGAAAGCAATAAGATGTAACAGTAAGAAACAGTACGCAACAGGAAGCATTAAAAAGGAAGAAAACGTAACGGGAAGAAACAAGAAAAAGTAACAAACAGATGTAACAAGAACAAGAAGTAACACGATAATAACAAAATGCAACAAAAATAAGGAAGAACAACAAAATAAGATGTAACAAAGAAACAGTACGCAACAGGAAGCATTAAAAAGGGAGAAGAAACAAAAGGATGCAAAATGGGAAGCAACAAGAAACGACAAGACGCAACAGGAGACAATAAGAAGCAACACGATGCAGCGAGAAACAATAAGAAACAATAAAAAGCAAAAAGAAACAACAGAAAGCGTTATGATGTAATGGTAAATAACAGTAAACAATGGGAAGATGCAAAAAGGAAAAAAATACGGGTAACCAAGAAGCAACAAGAAATAAAAAGTAATGAGAAGTAACGTTAAAAAGCGGTAAGTAACATGGATGCAATAGAAAGCATCAAGAAGCGACAAAATGCAACGGGAAACAATAAGAAGCAACAGGAAGCAACAAAACGTAATGATAAGAAACAGTAAGCAACGGGAAGCATTAAACATGACAAGATAACGGGAATCAACAAGAAGCAACGAGAAGCAACAAGAGACAACAAGGGGCACGGGAAACAATAGGAGACAACAAGAAGCAACAAAAAACAAATAGAGACTTGAAGCAATGTGAAACAACAAGAAATATAAAGCAACGGGACACAAGAAACATAACGCAACGGGAAACAACAAGAGACAGCGAGAAGCAACGGGAAACAACAAGCGACAGAAAGAAGCAACGGGAAACAACAAGAGACAGAAAGAAGCAACGGGAAACACCAAGAGACAGCAAGAAACAACGGGAAACAACAAGAGACAGCAAAAAGCAACGACAAATGGAAAGAAGTAACGACTAGCAAAGCAATGATATCATTTTTATTAAACGTTGCGCCTGAAAAGAACGAAATTAAATTATTTAATTTCTATTTTGAAATGTGCAATTAATATTTAATGCTTTTAATTATCCATGTCATTTAATAACCCTAGCCGTAAATTCTTTAAATCACTAGGAGCTATGTATGTGTAACATAACGTTTATCGAAGCGGAAAGTGGAATCGGTGTATCGAGTTCAAATTCTGACTCTTTCGTTCGCCTTGCACTGATGCCCTTACAAAAGGCAATGAATTCATTTTCCCCTAGTTAAGCATTAAATAGATCAGGCCGATCTCTGTTGCCTTAGTTGACATCCAGTCTAAAAAATGTTAAGTCCTTAATACAAAAACAACCTGAAGAAGGACTGCAGGAAGCAACAAGAAGCAACATGAAGCAACGTCAAATATTTGGAACGAGCAATAAGAAGCAACAAAAACCAGAAAGCAGCAAGAAGCCACGGAATGCAACAGAAAGCAGCATAAAGCAATAAGAAGTAGTATGAAGCAATAAAATGCAATGGGAAGCAATAAAAAGCGACGGGAAGTAGTAGGAATCAATGAGAAACAACATGAAGCAATGGGAAAATCAGGAACCAACAAGAAGCAACGGGAGGCAACTGGAAGCTATAAGAACCAGCGGGAAGCAACAAGAAGGAGAATGCATTAAGAAGCAACAGGAAACAGCATAAAGCAACAAGAAACAGTATGAAGCAACAAAAGGCAATGGGAAGCAATAAAAAGCAACGGGAAGTAGTAGGAATCAATGAGAAACAACATGAAGCAACGGGAAAAATAAGAAACCAACAAGCAACAGAGAGCAATAAGAAACAACAGGAAACAACAGTAAATACCAATAAGCAGCAAGATGGAAGATGAAACATCGCAAAGCAACAAGAAACAACAGGAAACAACAGAAAGTGAAACAAATATATAAGTAACAAACATTACTCAGTAAAATAGCAATAAGATTAAATTATTTTTTCTTTTCCAGTTACAAAACCGGAAGGGTCAAAAAAGATCTTTGCTCAGAATTATTCATTGAATTTAGGCGATCCTTTGTGCAATTGGATTTACAACGTTCATAGGAATCTTCACTTGTAAAGTGTAAATAAAAAAAAAAGACAACTCTTTTGTCCTGAACAGGTCAGGCGTTTGCATCATTGCAAATGACAAGGCCCGATCACCTAAATAAATGTACTAAGCCAGGAGATAAAAAAAAAAAGGTCAGACTACATTAAAGTGCAAAGTACAACAATAATCATTAAAAATATATATATATTTAGAATACTGACATGGGTACACTAATTTTAAAATACTATTATTATTAAATTTAAACATATCATAATAAAATGAATAATATATTTAAACATATCATTAATAAAATGTTTCAAAATACTATGAATAATATATTTACAAAATATTATTAATAAAATGTTTTAAAATAATATTCATGTAGTACTTTAAAATAATTTTAATAAAATATTTAAAAATATTAACAAAATATTCAAAAATATTAAATGAAGTGTAGAAAAAAGCATTTTGATAAAAACAATAAATTAAAATATTTAAAAAATATTATTGATAAAATATTATTAATACCAAATACTGAAGGATATTATTAATAAGACAAATGAAATAAATTTCTGAAAAATATTTGAAATTAATAAAATATTTAAAATTTTAATAAACATTTAAAATATTAATAAAATATTTCAAAATATTATTGCCAAAATTTATGAAAATATTTTTGATAAAAAATATTTGAAAATATTAATGAAATATTTTAAATTACATTAAGCACAATGCAGTGTTTTTCGGAAACATCATACGATTCGATGTAAAATGTCATTAGAAAAAAATTGGTAAAAACATTGAATTTTTGGTCTCGGTGATTCAGCTTGGTCAATTTTATATTTTTTTTGAACATTTTATTGACAGTCTCCAGACATATTTTTATGAGACATTTTATTGACATTTCATTTTTTATGAGACATTTTATTGACAGTTTCCAGACATGTTTTTATGAGACATTTAATTGACAGTTTCAGACATGTTTTATGAGACATTTTATTGACAGTTTCCAGACATGTTTTATGAGACATTTAATTGACAGTTTCCAGACATGTTTTTATGAGACATTTTATTGACAGTTTCCAGACATGTTTTTATGAGACATTTTATTGACAGTTTCCAGGCATGTTTTTATGAGACATTTTATTGACATTTTCCAGGCATGTTTTTATGAGACATTTTATTGACAGTTTCCAGGCATGTTTTTATGAGACATTTAATTGACAGTTTCCAGACATGTTTTTATACGATAAAAAATGATGGCGCTTAGTTTTAACTGTTTTTTTTTTTTGTGTCTTTTTTTTTTTTTTTTTTTTTTCTTTGTTCTTAATTTGTTATTTCATTCTCCTGTTACACTGGAGTCGACTTCTACACATTAAACACATTAAACACATTAAAAAGTAATTTCTTAGCCAGAAATCAAAAGTCCAATTATCCAAGAGTACACATGGCATTTTTTCTTTCGGACGTAGAAATTTTAGCCAGAAGTCTTTTCAAATAGACCAGATGAGAAATACTTTTTTTTTCTTCACAGTAAGCTACTCGAGCTCCACAAGGGATAGAAAGTTGTGGAGAGCCATGATCGCGTATATCCTGAAGGTACGTGGCACCTAGAGGAAGAAGAAGAAACTACTCGGGCTATTTCTGCCTAGGTGTTCTTTAGAGCTTCAATCCCAGATGATTTTAGCTTCAAAAACCCACGAGATTCTCTAGTAATTTCCGGGTTTTTTTTTATTTGTTGAGATTCATTTAAGACGTATCAAGTCTCGCAAAATCTTGATCAAACGACAGCTTCGCTCAAGCTGTTTTAATTTCTCTGAACTCTTCTTAGGCATCTTGAACCATCCTTCTGTTTTTAAAATCTCTCTGCGCACGCTCTCTTTATTGAAACATATTTTGTCTTTTTTTCTTCTTTTTTTTTTTTTTTTTGATTCTTTTGATTAGAACCGCTGATGGCGCAAATAGCCGGACTTAAATGCCGTGCGAAAATTTAAGAAAAACTTGTTGAACCATTTCATATCCCTTGCCTGGTGTTTCACTCGTGATTGGCAGTTGAGCTAGATATGGTGTTCAGTGTGCCATTATTGTTAACGCTCCGATGCCCTTGATGTAATTTCTTCTTACAAGGCAACATCTTCGTCAACACTTTTAGCAGTTCTCGTCGAAAGGTCTTGTTGCAGAATCCATAAACTGCCGGGTTCAGGGCCCCGTTTAAGATCCAGGATCTATAGAGCAATAAAATGATCGATTCTTGAATGGGCGTTAAGATAACGTCATGATAAAAATACGAAGTCACCCCCACCAGCAAGGTCGGAAGAAAACTCACGGCGTATGCTACTGTGATACAGATCATTGTTCGATTAGTACGAGTGAGTTTCCTTCTTGAAGACAAATCCCGAATTGTATCGAGATCGAAGCTGTTGCTCTGTCGAGGTCTGGACTGTCCTTTGGGGGCAAAATGTTGACGAGCTGTTTTCCACACTTGGTAGTAGAGAATGAACATTAGGATCAAAATGGTCAAGTTTGCTGGAAACAAAGACACATAGTAGGCCCAGGCCAATGGAGTGTGACGGAAATAACACTGGGTAATCGTCACGTTAGGGGTCAGCGATAGCGAGGCCATGTCGAAAGAAACTGTAACGGGGATGACCAAAAGACCGGAGATGAATATTATGATCCCGACGAGAAGTCGTGCCTGGAGTTGAGGTCATTTGTGCCTTCGTCGCTCTGCAGACTAAAAATAACGTTCCACTGAAATGGTGAGAAGAACGAACGCAGACGAGACACAATAATAATATGTGACGAATTTCTGGATCTTGCATAAATAACGGTACGGATAGGCGTAGGCCATTTGCAATTCGACAATCTCAAGAGGAAACCCAATTAGGCAGTTAACAAGATCTAAAAATGCTAGTAGAGTTATGAAGAGCTGAGATTGTTTCTTTTCAAGTAGATGCCGTAGATATAAAAAGACAAGTAATTGCCGAATATGCCCGCAGGCATGAGAAACGACAAGAAGGCTACAGTCAGGATTCGAACCTGGGATGCCTTTTGGAAGATTTCGTCAAATGTTATATTTCCGTTTGTGATAGTGATATCCATATCTAATGTTAAATAACTCATGGCATTAACTTAAATATTTTGCTTTTTTTAAAATTGTCTTTGTGATTTTAACTTCAATTGGCCCTGTTTTTATGTGATAAATATTTGATAGATTACAATATTGTTTAAAAATTGTCTTTGTGTAGTTTAACTTCAATTGGCCCTGTTTTTATGTGACAAATATTTGATAGATTACAATATTGTTTAAAAATTGTCTTTGTGTAGTTTAACTTCAATTGGCCCTGTTTTTATGTGACAAATATTTGATAGATTACAATATGGTTTATAGAGTTAATAAAAAAAAAGTCGTTCGATTTCCACTGGCGAAGTCGTGCAAAAAAGTCTGTAAATATTATAGCATTCATTTATATATTATTATTTTTGTTTATGCAAAATACTGAAAATCTGATCAGTAACCATTCAAGAGGTTGTTTGTTTTTTTGTTTTGTTTTTGATTTCGTTTTTATTTGCAGTTGAATGTCAATATAATGAGTTTATGTGTGCCGCTTTTTCAAAAAGAAATAATATAAAAATGTATGTGACATACAAGTGAATAATGAATGAGCAAATAGTATTCAAGAACAGGACACGCTTTCAATGAGAATACGTAACTTGATGCTTAGTTAAAGAAAAAAAATTCGTATATTATTCAAATACTCCAGATGGTTTATACATGGCATGTAAAAGAAAGTAAGAGGGTGTTTCCTTTCTAAAATTTCATTGAAAAGTTTGTTTGTTTGTTTGTTGTTTGTTTGTTTTTTAGTTTTTTTTGTTTTTTTTTTTTTTTTTCTTAATTCGGTTGGATCCTTTTTTTTAAGTTTGATCAATAAAGCACAAAAAAACGATACTTCAAATTTATGATTTAAAAAAGTCGAAATAATTTATAACATATCGAATTCGTACAGTATTTTGCGTTGTTGAAAAAGTTCATTTTTAGTTGTAAATCTTTCTAAAGCGTACTCTTAGGAAAGAGTCTTTGATTAAAAATCATGGCTATATTTACTTTAAAAAGTTTGAAAAAAAACTTAATATTTTTATGCGTGAACAAAATATTTACAGGAAAATTTTCTATCTTTTTGCATACTCTTTTCTATTTTTTTTTTTTTTTTGTTTTGTTTTGTTTTGTTTTTGTTTGTTTGTGTGTGTTTGCTCGCCCGTACGTTCTCGTGTGTATATGTATGTGTGGGGGCTGTTATTCGCAAAATTTACCCTCAGAGCAATAGACTTCAATATAAATAAATGTGCAAATAGAAAATGAAACAAAATGAAAATTTTTTTTTTGTTTGTTGTTTTTATTCTTTGCTTTGTTTTGTTTTTATAATTTTGTTTTTGTGTTCATTGCTGCTGTTGTTGTTTGTTTTTTTTGTTGTTTTTACTTGTTCGCTTTTTCTTTATTTTCTTTTTTTTTTTTTTTCGAACTTTGTCTATTCGATTTATTCCGAAGAGAAAGT